ATCAAAATTCCAAAAGAACATAGAACAGGCATATGCTTATTTAGGATTTCCTAAAGAGAAGCTAAAGATACCAAAGGGATATTCAAACTCTTAAGTTGAAAACAAACCGACGATGCCACGGCAAAAAAAAAACGACAAAAAGACAAACAACAGTAAACAAAACACAACATAGAAAACTAAAGACTGAGCAACAAGAACAGCACCAAAAACCGGGAGTGATCTCAGGTGCTTCGGATGGGTAAGCCGATCCTGCTCCAAATATGGCACCAGTCGTGTTGATTGTGTAAGCATTAACCCGGTGATACGTCTAAATCAGTAGGTCACATTTGAGGAAAAGAGGACGGGATTATGATTACAACAATCGGAATTGGTAAGTGTCCTAGAGGCATATGTTGAGTTTCCTAGTGAATTGTCAATATCTAATTCCTTTGTCATGTGATTCAAACACAAACATGATGTTGTTTGTTTTTTTCAAATACTTTATAACTAAAGTAGACCATGACATACTTAAATAGAAATGATATTTCAAAAATCAGTCAAAAGAAAATTTTACTATTACTAAATGTAAAAAGTCGTAAAGTAGACAAAATAACCATAAAAATACAGCTATGCCTAGACTGAAAGAAATATCAAACTTCTGTGGTAGCTGATATAAGTATCACGTATCAGAAGACGACGGTTTCAGCTGATACGACTAAACTATTCTCCCAGTAAAAAGATATAATGTATTTGTTAATTTCAATTTGATAAAATTTTATCATTGTGCTTAAGTAAGATCGCCAATCACTTGTACAAATTTTACCGTAGACAGTTCGGATTTTTTATTCGGGCCTTTGGTATTTATCCTCTCGAACGTTTTATGCCTAAAATGCAAAATGTGTTTCTAAACTTTGAAAAGCGCTTCGGACGGATGAAATTTATAACGTGTTGTTTTCATTTTTTGTGTCACGACCGTAAGTTGTTCGTGAAATATGTGCTGTACGCCTGGCAATAATAGCATAGAATATAATAAAATAAGTAATAAAAAAAATGGTGTAGTCTGCTGTACAAGTTATATAGATTTCCAAAACGTTAGCAATATTTGAAGCAAAAATCATTGCATTTTCTGCTATGAACGTATCGATTTTAGACTGCATTAGAAAGAATTTATCACGTTCAATCAAGATAAAAATTTTGGGATCCCGAATATAAAAGTTAAAGATCTGGGTAAAATACAGTGATAGCGGTAAATTGTCAAAAATAATTTCGGTCAGTATGAAGTAAAGCAGGTAATTTTTCGTGACGAAAGAAACATTAATATTCAGATTGGAAATAAGAAATATCGAAATAGAATAGTATAAAAGATACAAAATCATAAATTGATAAAAACAACAAAAACAACCCCCTGAAAAACAAAAACAATAAATAATAAAAACAAACAAACAAACAAACCGCAACAACAAAAATAATAAAGCACACACAAATAAATAAACATCGAATAAAAACAGATACCCTAATGACACTTAATCAATCCTGAACTTTTTTTTTAATTGAGATATGGGTGAGAAAGAATTTAATACAATGTAAACAAAATACGTTGGGCATAGTTATATCAAGTGTTTCTTCTATGTTTAAAAAAAAATAAGAAAGGAAAAAAAATAGATATTTTAAATGTTTGGAATGCCACTTTGGTCTTTAACAAAATCCTTGCCAAAGTTGCATACTATAATTACTATAATAGGTGACTGTTGATTGTTTATAATTACCACTTTGTTGGTGTTTTTGTACTCAAACTGAAGTTTTAAAACTGCTTTTGTAATTATATCTTACTATATCGTCAAACATCTATTTGAAAATTTTAATTCTTTAATCTTATCCAGTAAAACGACGGACAGCAATCGTTATCTTTTTAAGTTACCCTCTCCTGATCCCCAATCCTACTCTTATTTTTGGTCGAGGATCGACGAAGATTGTCTTTTCGCCATATTTCTACAAAGTTTTAGTATCGTCGACAAAATGAAACACAACATTTACAAATAAATTGTTATCTCTGGATAATAGTTTAACATGCGGAGCATGGAAATTAATTTGATTATAACTGAGCGAGGTATAGGGAAGCCTCTGAGATAGATAGATCATAGTAATGTTCTTTAGTACACCCCGTGTCACAAAAAAAAACTTAGGCATGAAGAACTGGAGAACACAAAAGAAAGGCTACAGAAATTTTTAATTTCCAATTGACAAATAAATCAAGGCATGAATATTTGAACGACATTTAATTTATTCTATTTGTAACAAAATAAAACTATATGTTTTGATGATGAAATCTATTCGCAAAGGGTAACCACGTTACTTTAAGCACTTGTACATCATCTGTTCTTTGAAAGTAATGGACGTAGAATGGCTTTAAATTCAAGTACACTGTCCTCTCTAATAAACAAAATGCACTTGGCTACTTATTTCATGAATATCGGTCGGAAAGATTATCCGTGAACTTTGGTTGTTTGAACCCTTTGAAAAGATTAAGTTCTTCGAAAAATTTTGTTTCTCGGCATTCGGTTGTAGTTTTTAAATATGCAAAGTTAATTCATGGTTCTCTTACTGTACACCAGATTGGGTGCAAGCATAAAGAACTTATTTTTGCAAGTAAATGGACAAAAGATAACTTCAGCAAACGCCAGGTTTTATATGTGCATTACATACCTTGAAAATGAATATAGTGTATTGATAAGACATTTAAATAATATCGCACTTTAACTGAAGTTGCAACATTCAAATATGCTTTATATTAGATGTGAATAAAAAAAAGTGATTTTTTAGTTGTTCTTTATTCCTTAATCTTAATTTTTTTCAGTCCTTAATTGAAAAAATCTACTACAATTTATTTTTATTATATCTCTATATTTTTTTTTATGTTGACAATGTATTGACTGGTCTCATTTAAATTCATGGTTTACTGTACGACATATGTTCATATAATTTTATATATGTCATTGAGGACATCCTTCTCGGGTCGAGAAGAAGAAGCAAAAGAAATTGCGTATTTTCTCCCTTCAAAGTTTGTTTAGTTTTTCCAAACTCTAGTCCATTATCGTTCTAGATATTACTTGTGTACAAAACCAGAAGTACATTTCATTTTCACTTTACAAGGAAGACCAGAATAAGTGACATTCTGATATAATTTTCAAAATATCTTCTGAATTAATTTAGATTAATTTATGGTTAGATTTATTTACGGTCTTCTAAAATAAACATTGTTGAACAAGTTTTACAAATTTGTTACATTTGAGAAATAAGTTTGTAATCGTTAACCATGAAAATCGAAAAAGATCAATACTTTTGGCCTCTTAGCAATTTCACATTTCTTTCAGTGAATACGCAATATACTATTAGTCCTCGTTATTGATTTGTAACTTGTTCGAAGGAAAATTACAAAAAAAAAATGTGTCTCTTTAATTTGCCCTAAATTTTGTTTTTAATGACCATTGCACATGATGAAGGTGGCTCATTTTATGCAGAAATGTTGCCAGTGTGCACGTAAACGTTGTCGTAAAAGGAATAATTTTATCCTTAAGGATCTATTCTTCTGATGTTTCAGTCTCGTTGAAATCTTGTTCGGGAATTATTTCCAAAACATGTGATACAAGTGGAAAATATCGATGCATTTAAAAACTTTTATAATCAAACTAAAGTCTGTGAAAAAATTGCGTACTTACAATAAGTTTTTGAGTTCTGAAATCAATCTTCAAAATTTATGACCAATCCGGTCAGTGTCCTCAGCCAAAATGTTGAGAAATGGGGTGAGGGTTACAAAGAAATGATTTAACCAAAAATATGTGCATTCCATATCAATTATTTCTTTTCAAAAATCTTAGATATGTATTTTTTCAATCATTTATAACAAAGAAGTTGAAATAATATGCTTTTCAAGTTGTTCTAAAAGAAAAAGAGAAAAATCACAAATTTACAAAATTGACAGCAAGGTCAATTTGACACGAAAAAGCAACAAAATTATATAAAACTTTCTAATATTAACACCAACCTATAGTTTTTTTAAGTTAAATTTATTCAAATTGGTCCACTACATCTTTTAGTGATGGTATGAAAAAAAGTTTAATTGTGAAACTGTGATTTGTTCATGATAATAGCCCAAAAATGGGTAAAAATTGATGAAAATGGAAAAATCATTTAAAATGGGATACTTTCAAATGGCCGTAGCAAAAAAAAAAAAATTATTATATTTCTAACTCAGGAAAATTGATTGAAAAGTTTTATTTATTTTTTTGTTTGTATAAAAATAAGGAGATGTGGTATGAATGCCAATGAGACAACTATCCACCAAAGTTCAAATGAAGTGGATGTAAGCAATTATAGGCAACCGTACGACCTTTAATCTTATGCTATGTATTATACATATATAGATGATTTTCATGTATTTTCTATATGATTTAAAGCATCAAACGCCATGGGGGTAAATTGCTAAAGAGTAAAGACAGTTTTATTACTGGAAATGCATGCCTTGTTAGTATTTATCAGAACCTTCAACCTTAGTCACGTCCCCCTCCCAAACAAAAAAACAAAACAACATTTAGTGTGAATATTGATAACGATTTTTTTTTAACCAAGAAAAAAAAACTAAACTTAATAAAAACGGGTACGACACGAAACATGTTTGTAGGATTTGCAAGCTAGACTCAAGCTAGCAGCCACCCCGCCAATATTATTCCGCTAGCAGCAAGTTTTCAGATTTGTGACATAATTCTGTGTCAGTAGTATCAAAGATTATAAAATTAAGTTATATATTCATCTTGTAAACGGAAATAATGTCACAGTACAGTATAAATGTATATAATTATAAACCTAATATTTCAGTTTTAGAGGCTTCCATGAAATAATGTCCGCTCACAAGAGCAAAAGTTAATTTCATTTTTGAATTTTATCCTTGTGAAGTATTTCTACTGATTGTGTTTGATGCTCCAATCCGGATGTTGTATAGGAATATTGATCTTTACTGCGTCAGACTTTGGAAATGTTTAGGTCCATATATAATGGATAAATACTCTCTGTTGAACCACACTGATACCACAGGATAACAGACCGGACCGAATACGGGTAGGTACTATAACCTTATAATTTAATTGTCATGATATATTGTTACATAAGTATTTCCATAAACATGCAGTAAATACCTTTTTTCTAAATATATTTAAAAAAAAAACACGCACACGAATAAAGTAAAAAAATCATATTTGGTTATTATTTAGTTTAGAATCATTTTCAATAAGTTTGTATATTTGGTTTCTTAATAAACTTTTGCTTAAAATACAAAGATGTTATATCGACAAGCCTTTCAATTGATTGGAGACGGGGAATAATATTATGGTCCTTTTTAGAATAAATTTATACACTCATTGGTCTTAAAAGTAATCCACATTACCGGTAACAATAAGACTCCAAGAACATATGGTGAATTTGATTTGATACGTGTGTTTTAGTAGTGTCCGTCCTCAATATAAAGGTATGTCTTTTTATTAGTGTATAGTTGACGTTTATAAATCATATCGCCTCTTCTAATTTTTAATTTCAAATTGGACAATTATCATTCAAGTCTGATATTGAAGACTAATGTTTAAAAGATAAGTTCCCAAGAACGCTATATGAATACGAAATTTCCAGTAATTCTACATTATAAAAATATGCTGGAGTTTCAATTTTCAAACCGGGTCTCTAAAAATTCTTGAATTGTTTAATAAGTCCTAGCGAATAAACCGTGCCCACCGTTGCTCTAAATGTATGTCCGCATAGTTTATATGTCAAAGTCAAAGTCAAAGATTTTATTGATAAAAAATCCAAAATATGGATTGTCATCAACACACAAAGAACAATCATTAATCATTACAATCAATTATATAACAATACAGAACATAAAAAAAAAAGAAGAAAGAGGTGTATATATAAATATATAATGAGTATTTTTATTTTCCCCTTCTATCTATGTCTTATAATATCCATGATGATAATAGAATAATTCAGTTGTGAAATATTCCCTCAGCTCACAATGTAAAGTTCTTATGTTGTGCTGTTTCACCACTATACCGGATTGAATTGTTTCATATATTTTATGTCGGGGCCTTTTATAGCCGACTATTCGGTATGGGTTTTCTCATTGTTGAAGGCCGTACGGTTGACTATAATTGCTCACATCCACTTCATTTGAACTTTGGTGGATAGTTGTCTTATTGGCAATCATACCTCATTTCCTTATTTTTATATAGACCAAGATAAAGAATTTGAAATTTTTGAATCAAGGACAGTTCAAATTCTCTCCTGGATCTGACTGATTTTCTTTTCGTCTGACTTCTCAATTAAGTCACTTGCTCCAGGGTTTGTACTTTAGTATACTTATTGTTATGGTTAAAACATCTGGTGCTGATAAATACATGTATAAGATTTGAACTTTGTCGGAAATTGAAATCGATACACATGTACATTGTATATGCTCTTGCGTTCGTTTCTGAAGAGAGCCCCCAATTTCCCCTACATACTGCATACCACAGCCGGATTTTGTTTAAGTAATCAGATAGATAACTCTTATAGTTTTTTACTGAATCACACTCAGAAAATTATAGGAAAAATGTTCTACCATTTTTGACATTGAGAATGTTAAAGGGCATCAATATGTTATAAAAATTTAACGTCTTTCTATAATCTGAAAGTTAAATTTTCATTTTCCTTTGTGTGCTATATCAATGACCATTACTGGTTATTACGGTGCTTATTCAAAAGGTTTGTTCCATCTCTATATCAATCGACCAGTATATTTTCCAATTTGCAGTTTGCATAGTCGCTTCAAACTTATCAACTGCTGGATTTATTTGAGTCCATAGCTAGTCAAAGACTGTTAAAATTGTGAAACTGCAGTATAATGGTAAAAAATATATTCTTTCAATCCAATTCCAGTGTTTCACTCTCTTCCTGTTTATACATTGTAGGGATGATTGGACACGTTCTTATTAGGGACACAAGTTAAAATAAAAAGTATGACTTGGTTACGAAAATTACCATCTTAATTACAGTTTTTAACCCGTTGCATTTGTTTGCACCTGTCCTCAGTCAGGAACCTGTTTCAGTGGTTGTCGTTTGTTGATGTGGTTCTTAAGTGTTTCTCGTTTCTCGTTTTTTATATAGATTAGACCGTTGGTTTTCCTGTCTGAATTGTTTTACACTAGGCATTTTGGGGCCCTTTATAGCTTGCTGTTCGGTGTGAGCCAAGGCTCCGTGTTGAAGGCCGTACTTTGACCTATATTTTTTTACTTTTTAGACATTGTGACTTGGATGGAGAGTTGTCTCATTGGCACTCATACCACATCTTCTTATTTCTATTTATAATTAATTTGCTTTAAAGATTGTTTTATTGCTGTTTGAACTATCGCTTCATGTGTGTTATGAAAAGACAGTTGGAAAAAATATTGAAACATGATATTAAACGGAGAATCTTATTTGTGTTCGATGTTCAATAACCTGTCCTTGATTTTGCTGAAAAATTATCCCCCTTTGATGTCAGTTCTTCAGTTATTACTACAGGAAATTATATTCAAATTACAAGTACACGATAACTGTTTGTTAGAAAAAAAGCAATATTTTTTCCATCAGTAAAATTATGTTAAGACCATATTACTTATAAACTGTAATTATGGTGAAAGTTTTTGATATCCTAGTCATACTATTTTGATTTAACTAGTTTTCACGCTTTTTAAAAAGAAGTTGCAATTTTTTTTGGCCCAAATTATATTGTTTTTAGAACGTATACTTCAAAATTCTTTATAAAATATTTTCATTAAAAAAATAAATGTTTACTGTGTAAATACAAATAGCAATATCACATTAGATTTATATACACTTGATAACAATGACAGGATATTCTTCTGTCGGTTTTTATTTGAAAAATGCAGAAAAGATCAAAAGAAAAACAGATGTTAACAATATTGTAAAATACGATGACAAAATCATACTGGTTGGGTACTAACATGCTCCTGTGGGGGGTCAATGTTCCCGCTGCATTAGTGACATAACGGAAAACGCTCAAAGGCCATATATGTTTGTAGTCTAATTAAACTAATTTGAAATTGTGACCTATCAGGATTTGATAATGAAATCATACCCTTAAAATATCGCCTGAAAACCCCACCGACAACATAACTTAGTTGTGCTAAAATTAGATGCAACTATAGATTTTCGTTTTTCTATAACAAAGGTATTGCTGCTAAAAGTGACTGACTCTCAAATGATATTGACATTTAACATTTAGCACATAGAAACAAATCCTTTCTCCTAACCATATTATTTATTACACAATTTCTAGCAAACTTTATATATAAGGTGTTAACAAATATGGCATGACTCGAATATTCAAACCAGTATTCAAAATTGAATTGCAGCTATTCAAAGTTAAAGTTTTATTACATCATGTTCTATCTTTTAATTTAACCATATATCGCCATCTGCGTGAGCTTTCTGAAGAATAGCACTTAGCAAGGTTTATATCCTTTTTGATTATGCTTTCATCAGCACTTATATTCGTTGTTCATAGATCAAATATTTTTGAATTTATTCCATTCGATACAAATTTGATTTTTTTTTTACTTCTCAAAATCGAATATATTTTGAAAATGAAATTTTCTTACATACACACGAGAAGCATATTTTTCATTTGCAGGGAATGGTTTATTTACTTTTTGTTTTTAGTCATTCACAATTTTGGAAAAAGAAAATGGTTAAATTTCTAATTATTTATTCAAAGCATTATTACATTTTAAAGAAAGTCTGTCCTACTCATTAGAAAAACACGGAGTATCAGAGATTCTTAATTCACGATGCTTGATTTAATTTTTGATTTACATACAAAGATCTTTGTACTGATCCAGTTAAAAGAGAAGCGTTCTATTTCCAGTTTATATTAATTGAGCTTGTTCAGACGACCGTATATTGTTACAAGCTTGTTTAACTGCATTTACTATTTAATATAATTTGCTGCATGATCGATGCATTGTTAAAATATAATTATGTTCAATTCAATTCTTTTATTACTTTGAGCAAATAATGCTCATCAGTACAAAAACATGTAATATATATGCAAATACAATAATGATAAATAAATACATAATACATACATAACTGATAAATGAATACATCCGAGAAAAAAATGATCTATATTAAGTATTGGTTACTTATAACATGTCTTGTCTACGTTTAAATGCATGGAAAAGAAATTTACAAAGGTTACATATGTCTTTTACATTTTCTGTGCTCAACAACTGTATAAGCTTAAATGACGATGGACGCCTATAATAATATGGCTTACGTTCTCAGAATTAAGGTAGTGTACCAAGTCAAGAATACTAATTTTACTGCAAACTAATAAATTTCAACATTTGAAGTTAGAATTTCTCTTCAAATAACAGTAATTCTAACAGTTTACTTGTCATTGTATTTAGGTTTTACTTCAATCGGTATTAAATTATTGTTAAAAATAGTTTGAAATAAAAAAAGAAAAAATCCCCTACCACCCCCCAAAAGATATACGAAATAAAATTGATCATCTTTTTGATATATATCCTCTTTTGAAAATTTATCTGGTAACAGATGTCAACAATGACCAAGATGCTTAAGATAGACCTGAAGAATAAAAACCCAGGTGCATTTTTTTTGTCACAAATATTGCACAACTATTGGTGGTCACTGTATGATTAAATTGTGCTCAAGAACAGTTTTGGTGAAAGTTTTTTTTATGATCATCAATTTTTACATTTTTTTTTGTATAATTTCGTTGACCAAATGGTAACGTTAACTTACAAAAAAGAGAAATAGCACACTTGTTTAACTGATCCTTAAAAAGGCTATATTATTACTTTTGATTGGCTTATTCCTGTAATGTCCCTCCACATCAGGATAACATATATCAATTCCTCCTTGTTGTTAATTTCTGTTGCAGTTTCATAAGTGCTACCTTCGGAATTTTATGGTCTTTTGAGTCCCTTTGGTAAACGATTATAATTTACATATATAATCAAATTTACATTTAGAAATTGATTTAGCTGATCAAGAGTTATTATAGCATATGATTCTAAGTTAAAACAAATTAAATGTAATAAAAAGTACAAATTTAATAATTATTTTATTACATTTTCACGTAGGTTAATAAATATATTTGAACCACGTCTCGTTTCATCACCTAGCAGTTTTTAAGTCGTGGACGGTAAGAGCTGTAGCCGTAGTATTTAATTGCTTTTCATATTAAGAGACTGAAAAGTAGTAATGAGAACTATACTTAAAATACAATTTTAAGGTACTAAAGAGTACCAAGATTCGAAAATGTATACCATGAAATAGAAATGAAAACAGTTTAAATTGTCCATAAACTTGGTACAAAACTTAATTATATTATCGCGATATTCAAATATTGCCAAAAGGAGTTAAATTCATTAACCACCTGAATTGAGTTGATGATGGTGTAGATTTACAAATGATACAGTGATTGTCATGGAACATAAGTTGTATACAAAATAATGAACTCCAAAAGTGCATAAACTTTGTATAGACAATATCAAACAAAAAAATGGATATGGACCAACCATCAAATAGTCATAAAGTTTAATTGCATGAGATTATTAGAAAAATGTGATGTTGTTTTTAGAGACCGTACATTTAAATACGATCCGTGTTTCCAAATTGATGACGTCTTTACACCAAAATCTATTGGATGAGTACTGACTGATATTTTAGTCTTAGAAACATGATTTTTTATTAGTTGTTCTTGACTTTTAACTAGCTTTTAATGACTGCGAGATCTCTAAGATTAGTACTTTGTGTCTTAAGTCCGTTTGTTAGTTGTTTGTTTGTTATGTGTCGATTAGATGAGTCAAGCCTTTTCAACTGATTTTTATAGTTTGTTTTTTATGTTGTGCTGTTACACATGGCCACTATCCAAGGTCAGGGGGGATTGGGCCATAGCAAACATGTTTAACACCGCCATATTATGTATGTGTCTGTCCCACGTAGTCTGAAGCATGTAATTCAGTGGTTATCGGTCGTTGCCTTATATCATATTTGTTCTTCGTCTATTGTTTTGTACACAAATCAGGCCATTAGAGTTCTCGTTTGAATTGTTTTACTTTTGCAATGTCGACTTTTATAGCTTGCTTTGCAGTATGGGTTTTGCTCACTGTTGAAGGCCGTACGATGACCTATAGTTTCTAGTTTTTACGTCATTTGGTCTCTGGCGAAAAGTGTTCTCATTGGCAGGCTTACGACATCTTCTTATTATTACAGTACTTATGCTTTTAATATTCGCTCCATTCAAATTTGTATTATTAAGACTTTAACTTGTGTACCAAGAGGCTAATTGGACTGTGTGTTGTTTGTTCGTCTATTTCCTTCAGAGGTGTTGGAGTGGTCGTTGTGCTGTCCAGTATTAATGGTAATTCCTGTTATCCTTTTGATGTATTATTCAAGGATTCAATATGAAAGACAATCTCATTAGTTTCTGTTCTTACATCAAGATAAAAAAAAAAACAAGAACAGGTAATATTTTAGCCATTCTTTTTTCCAATTAAAATAACATGGCCGGAAATAAAAATTACAAAAAGACAACAATACAAAAAAAATATTACACAGAAAACGAACGAGCAACACGAACCCCACCAAAAACCGGGGTGAACTGAGGTGCCCCGGTAGGCTCAGCAGTTCCTCTTCAGCATGTGACTATGCAAGTATACGAAGCTTTTATAAATTTGAGGGACTTGGGCATTTTCTTATTGCATTATGATGAAAGGATAAAAAATATCTATTCCTAAAAGATAATATTTGTTTTGAAACCGCAGTATTCTATTCACTTTCTTCTGTGCTTCTTTTTTTTCTCTCGAATTAATCAAGGCAAATTGACTCCTATGGTTAATAAACAGTAATTGTGTGATGAATTTGTAATAAATATGTCAGAGGTGTTTTGAATCAAGGGATAAAGTGGCTATTATACCTTGTTAAGTAGTGGTTTCTCTGGGTTAACATAGAGTTAGTTAACCGATTATCCCTAAATCCATCAATGTCAATTTGTTTATTTCTCTCTAAAGCATTGTTACAACGTAAATTGTCAATTGTAAAGTTAATATCGAGGTATGCACATATTTTCATGAGGCATAGTTAAAAAAGTTGTAATAGTTCTCGCCGCGATATAGCGCTTTTACAGAGTAAAGCATACATCAATCAAGCAATCAGTTCATGAGGCATACACTAAAATAGGAATACAGTGTTAGCTTCTTTTTAAAATATACCATGGTAAAATATGTGTTTGACGGCTATCAGATATTTCATTTTCAAATCACCTAATCAATTTCCAATTTTACATGTTTTTGCCAAGAAAAAAATCTCTTAGTAATGACAAACGGTAGCCCTGCTTATCAGAATCTCTTCGAAAGAGAATACATTGATGTACGTAAGCTGTTACAATGTATGAACCCACATAATATGTCACGCATTTACAAAGTCAAAATTATTATAAACTCCTGCACAAAATACAACATGTTCACATCAACAAGGGTAGTTTGTCCTTCCTAGTAGTTGTTTCCCTTTGAAAACAACTATTTAAACGTAATACAAAATCGGGAGTTTGAAAATAGACTATCGTACAAGTCAAAATGTGGATACAGACTTCTCTTCAATCAATTATCCTCATCATTATGTTGAAAACAGTTTCACTTTTACATAAGCACATGTATCGGATGTTCTTGTTTCCTTCTTATTCAAAGTTAGATAGTTACATTGTACATCTTAACGATATGAAAAGCACTAGTAAAAATAATCAAAGAAGCATTTTGAAAATTGCATTGTATTTAAAATCTGACATAAAAACAAGTTAAATAGATATTATATATCAACAAATTTATACTGACTATGTTTATTAGCTTGACATTAACAAACTAACATTTGCTACATATGAAATTGCATTTGTTAGGGAATTCTATAAACAAAACTAGGCACAGAAAATAAATAAACCGAATTATTGAATTTGTTATAAAAAAAAATATAACTTGCACTATAGCTTATAAAGCTATTATACTGAAAAGGTGGTGTTGTCTGGAATGTTCTTATTAAAATGTAATTAGAGAATTGTAATATATCAAAATATAAGTGGTAATGATCCATTGACAATTTGAACATGCTGAACCAAAACATTTCTAATATAATTTCCTAATCCCGAGTTACTCATTAAACAAACGTCAGCACGGACAATGACATAAAACTACACTTATGGAGCTTGAATTTGATTTCCAATGTCTCGTGTCATGTACTGAATGACAAACGATATGAGGTAAATGTCAATGTAGATTGATTGACTGAGTGTTGTTTGCTTAACGTCCACTGGCAAATAGACAGTAAGCCAACATTATACAAAAATAAAACAAAATTCATCACTTGCATGGCACCAAGCCGGTAACATTATTTTTTTAATCGATTGCACATGTCAATGACTACGTATCTAATATGTTGGATGTGAATTCGAAACTGCCCGTAGGTTCCAAAGGTAAAGTTTTCAACTTATCATTCTTATTTTTTTACTATTAAATCTTTCATCTATTCATCTATTTTATCATCTGTAGCTTGTTTTCATCATTTTCTGATATATATAAGAACACAACATATACATGGTGTTAATTAGATAATTGTGGATTCCTTTATTTTTGTGGGTACCAATTTTCGTCGATTGATGAAAATTGTATTTTCGTGTATATTTTATATCGTGGTTTTGACAACGCCAGCATACACGCCTATAGAAAATTTGTACTCTGTTGAAGATTGAAATTCGTGGTTCACCTATACCAACGAGGTTCACGAAAATTGGTAGCCCACATATAATAATGAATCCACAGTACATCAAATGCATGTGAAAAACTGGTTTTTCAAATCTGCAGACTGTGTGACTTACAATGATTTATCATTTTAATGCTTATTATTTTCAGACATATACCCAAAATGGCTTGCCAAAAAGTATTATTTGTTTTAATGGCAGCAATGATAAGTTGTGTATACACGACAATGGGAATGAACACTATAGAAGTTAATTCAATCTTACCGTGCGAACCATGCAAACATGACGAACTTCCGCTTTGGCATTTTAAGAAAATGTCTCCGATTTGTGGACCATGCGGAGTATTGTTCGGAGCAGAATTTGAGTATTGTTGTATGTGTGATGAAGATGTCCGAAAAGACTGCATGGCAGCACTAAGAAAGTAAAACAAAAAGCCATGCGAACAATTTCAGCCTTATATGTCACAAAACCGTGTACGATTATAGTTATTAGTGCTTATGTGATGACGACAGCAATAGCAGACCAGAAGAAAAAGAAAAAAAAAACAGAAAGCAAGCTTTGAGATATCCATAGTTGAAAAAATAAATATGTTTTAAAGTTTATTTAACCTTGTTAGAAGTTGTTTGAGTTCCATTAGATCACCGCAGACCATTATATATTTATGTTTATGGAGATTTTCCCAATTTCAATGGCATCTTTGGGGAACCGCCGATTAAATCCATTGAAAGTGTACTGATTGATATTTAAGTCTTGAATATATGATTTTTTTGTTTGTTTGGCTTTGAACTAGCTTTCGGTAACTACCAGTACTCCCAGATCTGTATTTTGTGTCATAAGTTCTTTTGTTAGTTTTTTTTTTATTTGTTTTGTTTCGTTTTAATGAGTCAATGACCATAACGGTACATATTTTACTGCATTAAATGCGCATTTCCACAATTAATGTCTCTTCGGTGATGCTCGAACTCCGAAAAAAAAAAAAAATCCAAAACCAAAAAACAAACATTGAAGAGCTGATAAAACCGAAGAGCCCCCCCCCCCCCCCCCCAAAAAAAAAGAAAAGAAAAGAAATCCAAATCGCGACAAGGAGTCAGAATTATACAATCACAAGAGAGATACATCCCTTAATTTAAAATTATTTCGAAATTTCATAACAGCAAATTTGAATAAAACAATCAAGTATTTTTCAACTGATATAATTTGTTCTTATGTTGTGCTATTACACTATTGTTCCAAGTCGGTGAGGGTTAACTTATTTAGACGAAGCAGCCCCTTTTGTTCCAGAAGGGGATTTAATGTTTAATTCACTAAATAAATGATATTTAGAATATCTTTAAATTCAGTAATATCTATTTATATGTACATCATAAAAAATGACATTTATACAAAAAGTGCAAATGAATACAGAAGGGACAACGTAATTGGTACACCATTGTATACAGAAGAAATAACGATATAAGTACATACTTTACACAACGTACTCCTGTAGTGAGATACTAGACAACAAATCAACAAAAGGAGCATTATTATGTACATAATTTAAACATCAATCATTTAGACAACAATCTCCTTTGAAACTGGGCAACAATAATACAAACGGAACAGCACTAAAATACTGCCAAAAATGGCGACAAGTGTCTTCAACAATGAGCTGTATTGGTCACCTCTTCAGGCAAAATCAATACGGTACCCAGTAATGTGGTAATATCTAATATGTATTGAACTTAGTACATATGTCAAAAGTTTAGTATGTAAAAAGCAACGTGCAAAGTCATTCTGTATATACGGTCAAAACTATCTCTTTATAATTGTTATGCGTCCACAGCCATCTCTGGATTTGCCATCATCAGGAACACCCAACACCTGAAAAAACTGAAAGTCAAGGATGAATAGATAATTTAATACTTGAGAAGCTAGATGATGACTGAGGAGAATCAAAACGAATAGTCAAATCAATCTAAGGTCTTAATAATGTCTAAATTTATCAACAGTGAATTAAGAAAGGTTTGTCATAAATCATGTTGGTACTGAAGCACTGACGACTGACTACCACCATACCATCAGGGACTAACAGTCTACCAGCAGCAGTATTGGCACAGTTCTCGAAAATGAAAATAATTATAAATTTGGTGCGTCCATTTCGCTTTTCTGTGTATACCTTCACCAGGAAGGTTAAACCCAAATATTTGAAATTCAAAGATAAATAGATATTAGAAAGAGCTTTATGATAAAAAGGGTCATACATGAATAGCCAAATCTTACTGAGATCACCTTTGCCTGAGGTAGTTGGAAACTTAGTAGGCTAATATTTTCTACATTTATCAACGGAGAATATAAGAAAGGTGAATATAAGGTTCACAAACTGCTTGTCAAAGGTCTCCTTTTTTAGCAGTAGACTTTTGATTTTACAAGCAAACAAGACATTTAATAATATACATCAACCATTTGCAGACACTTAATTGTTATTTTTGTTTTTGCTGGTAAAGAGCGATGAGAAATCGATTTGATAGGTACTGACTTGGATAAAAAGAATTGTCTCAATTTGGCAACCCTCCCTAAACCTATTTTAAAGGTAAGTAAACAATAATCACATATCTCAACACTAAAAATAACAAAATTTTCAAATACTTGAGAAATATATTTATCTTGTAAAAAGTAAAACACTTTGTAGGGTAGTGCAAACTTTATGGACAAAAATAGCAATAGCAAATTTTATTTCAGCCTGCAACTAAGGGAAACATCACATTACATTTATATACCCCTTTACTGCTTAAACAAGCCACAATATTCAGAACAAGGAAGATGCATTGGGCAATATGAACTGCCATTGGAGTGATATCAGATTCCCCGAAAGACAGAGTACGTATGTCCTGCTTTGCAAATGATATCCGTATTATCATAGAGATTTCTTATTTGTAAAATGTTGTAAAAGAAAGAATATGAATAAGATTTTTGAAGCTTAGAAATTTCAGTCGTATCTTACTCATGCTGCTTCCTATAACCAAGTGGCCTAACTGACGGAACTACACACACCTTTTTCAATAAGGCTTCAATATTATGTTGCCTAGTATCCAAGGCAATTTATTTTTAGATCTAACATTGATGGGCTGCATTTAAGACAAACATTAATTCAATGCGTAGAAAATTTCTGTCTTAAAACTATGTCTTAATGTACTCAACATCCTATTCATGTATAAACATCCGACGTCATTAAACTTATATAAGTCAAACCCTTTGGTTTACATTGACTTGTAAGCAGTACGTTACAATAGACATACACAAACCAACCTATGGCAGTATCAGGTCTTCTTCACATTGCAGTCTTCGGCATTTTATTTTGTCGAATGCAGGTCATCTGTCAAACTAGTCCACCAACATTAACGGATGTGAGGAAAGATTTGCTCGACCTTGATTCATATGTTGACCATAAACTGAGAGCCATCAATACAAAGATACAACAAACAGCATGCTACAACCAAGGTATTTATTCATTTCTTTCTACAAAATGTCAAACAAACATGTATACATAAAAATAAGATACAAATGAACTAGACTTCCCACAATTAAAACTAAAACAGTATTTGCATTTTAATGCTGATTTACGTACAGTAATCATACGCGTACGGTTTATTTTTCATATTTTTCTCGGATCTCTTTACTAGCCGTATATTTTTTGTTTCCTTTCATATTCAATAAATGTATCAATTATTTTTAGCGCGATCTCTCTGTACTACGGTGTTCTCAGTAAATGTATGTATTTTCATGCCCTATCATTCTGTTAATATAGTGCTAAATTAACACCCCATTATGTCCAATTGTAATTTATTCCACTGGATGGCGAATATTAATCTTCCAAAGTCGATCATTAGAAAGCCTTCATTTGTATCTGGCATTTACAAATCTAAATGAGTAAATTATTTAAATTTTCAGGTCACTCGATAGTAACATTTCTAGCACGTCTGATTACTCCATCCTATGGCACTATTGCGGCTAAGGCTACTGTCAAGTTTGAAAAAACAACAGAGAATATTGGGAATGGATACGATAACAAAACCGGAATTTTTACAGCTCCAGTGATAGGTCTTTATCATTTCACTGCTTCAGCTAGACAAAGTCGGAGTGGATATTTGCACTTGGGATTGTTTAGGAATGACGAAGAAATGGCAGTCTCTGTTGGAGTTAATTACAATTCTCTAACAATTGGTGCAACATTTACACTGCAATCCGGCGATCGTGTTCACGTTGCGAACATATGGACAAAATCGTCTGGTATTGTTGGTGCTGGACAGTCATATTTTTCTGGTCACCTTGTACACATCATGTAAAGAAAAAAATATAAGTACATGATATGACGTTGTTTTTCCATCTTCTTTTATTTCAATTTGATGAAACCACAATAAACAAAAACCTACCTATTCAACAATATAATTAACAAAACGCCGTACAAACCATTTTCAAATAAGAAAATAAAAAGAAGCATTTTAGTCTTGCTTGAACGAATTCATAGAACAGTTTATTTATAACCTTTATCAATAGTTCCCTCCAGAATATCATATGGTCGTCCTCTTACCGGACGTGTTGAGCATGTGCGGCTTTTTTATGAACTATATGTATGCATGTATCCAATTTCTGTTTCAGCTACATGTATTCCGGATGAATACTTACAAAATTTACGTACATTTGATGATATCCATATCATCATCTGTTTTCATGTTTAGTATTTTTAGTTTTTGTAAAAAAAACAGTTACTCTGTTACTTCAGCCCAATGCAACTTTGGCGAGAGAGATCATTGCAGTGACATCAGCTATACCTTCATCGACCACGTCGATCTAAAACTTTACAACTCTATCTAAAATATTCATTGTTATTTTACACTCGTCAAGAATATGAAGGAAATATTTGACCGTTAAACCAAAGAAAAAAATAGATGTTATTTATCAGCAACTGGGCGAGTTTGGAGCAGTTGAATTAACTCAGTTCTTTATTGATTTTTCACTTCATATGATAGACATTAAACTATGACAGTGTCTAGACATTGGTGATATATGTTTACCAATAAAAATATTTAATTATTTTAGTTGTTTCATCTTCACGCAATGATATGTCATATTCTCCAGTGTACAGTTGTATGTTATCTCCATTTTGCTGTTAATAAAAGAAGATACGAAATATACATCAATACGACAGCAACCCAGCGACACACATTTTAAAAAATGGTATATTCTAAATTAAGTTTTAATATTCAATTTATGGAAATGAACAAACAAACAACAAATATCTAAGCAGAGGTACGTACAATGTATGATTCGCCAAAAGTTTCTTTAAATATCATTTCATTACCAATTGTAATGATTAATGTACACTTTGATATTTCGTTCCTGCAGCACATTTTTGCTATCGTAAAAAATGATAAAAATATAAATAATCATACAACATGACATCTAAATGTCATATACCATATAACGCAAATCAACTTAAGTATAGTACATTTTTTAAGATCACTTCGACGATAAGAAAGTTCATCCACTTTTTACTTTTCATACATCATATTGTTCTTTGAAATTAAACGATTAAAGTGTTTACAATCTTTAAATATTGAAATACAAAATAAACTATTGTTAGATTAAAGAAAATGTCGACCAGTAGTGCTAAATCATTGCCTAAATATGTCATTTCGAGCTTTAAACATGCGTTTAAAATTAATCGACCCAATTTTTATGATCAGTTGTAAAGTTTAAATGATATTTTAAGTACTTACTTGATATACACAATGTAGGCCTAAATTGCAAAATGTCCCTTTGGCTTATACTTTTTATAAAAGAGATGCAAAAGATACCAAAGGGATATGAAAACTCGTTTGTCGAAAAAAAACTGACAAAGCCATGGCAAAAAAAAAAACAAAACGAAAAACGACCAAAAGACAGACAACGGTACACAAAACACGACATGGAAAACTAAAGACTTAGCAACAAGAACCCCACCAGGTGCTCCGGAAGAGTATGCAGATCTCTGCTCCACATGTGGCACCCGTCGTGTTGCTCAAGTAGGTACAAACCCGGTGATAAAAGTCTAATTCGGTAGGTCATTTTCGAGGAAAAGAGGACGGGATTGTGGATACGACAATTGGAACATATTCGTCTTCATTTGCGAAACAGATAGATATTCCATAACGGTCAACCAAAATTTTCGAAGGGATGATTTCACAACTTTGAAAGTTTGGTTTAATAGCTTCTTTATAAGCAGCAACCGTCTATCAAGGAAATCAATATACGAATTTTTGTTTGTTTAAAGCTGTAAATAGTTCCATCTAATATCGTTAGACATATTATACGTTCACAATTGAATACATCTAGCCTTTGTTAGTCTTGTGTGTGTGTTTTTTTTTTAATTTATTTTGGTTAATTTATATGTTTCGGTGTTGAGTGTGACGTCCATTTTCACTGAACTAGTATACATTATTGTCTAGGGGCCAGCTGAAGCCCGCCTCCGGGTGCGGGAGTTTCTCGCTGCGTTTAAGACCCATTGGTTACCTTAGGCTGTTTTCTACACTTTGATCGGGTTGTTGTCTCTTTGACACATTACCCATTTCCATTCTCAATTCTATCTAATAAGACTACATTACCACTAAGTAAATGTGGGTTGTAATCAGCTAAGTTTCTAAAACTTATTGTGTATTTGTATATATTGCCTTTACCTGAAAAAATAGTATTATTATTATTATCAAATTTATATTGTATAAGATGTATTTAATTTCATATGATAATATTGTTTACACTAGTTTTTTATAGCATGATTTTCTGTTTACCCTAATTTGTTGCCGGCTAAGTGTAAGGGGAAAAACACCAAGTTAAAGTTTAGGTTACAATGAAGTAATTATTTACTTAGGCGACAATGGAAGCCTTTTTTGGGTCCTGCGTTTTCACTATAAAAGATCCGTTGATAAAAATGTCAAATTCTGAATTATCAACACCTTTCGGTGTAAATCAAACTACAAAACACATATGGTGCCGCAGCTTTTTTAATAGAAAAATGGCATTTTTAAGGGTACTCAACAGTTCCAGAATTTTCGAAATAGTATAAATCAAGAACACCCCTTGCATAATTTGGCACAGAAAATGTTGCTCGTCACAAAGAGTTTCCTCTAAATTTCTCGCTATTTCTACACCAATGGCCAACATTCATTTCTCACCATTTCAATTTTTATTTCTGATTACCAGGGCAGCAGAAAATAAATTTACCTCTGCCTATTATCTAAATCTAGGTGGCGCCAGTCATCTTTAATCCTTACTTGACAGTAGGAATGCGCAGTGATTATTTTATTACTAAGAAATGATAACAATTGTTGCTGCAAAATATGTAATGGTGCTTAAATTTCTAGAATTTTTAAAGGGTATTTATCAAAGTTTCAATTTCTTCAAGTTTTAAGTGAATCTGCAATGTAAACTGCAGAAGATTAATTTAGTAGCTGGTCCAAATTTTATATTTGATTATAATGAGGAAGTGAAAAAGTGAATGAAGTGACCATATTCAGACTGAAAACGGTTTTATTACAATCTTAAATGCCGGTCACGGCCTTTCAAATATTCACTAAAAACCATATAGAAGGTCTCAAATATGATATTGGAATAGATATATATTTGGCAGTTAAATTAAGAAATAGAAAATTTTGAACTTTCATGAAGATTATATTGTATGGTCCTAAAAGGGGGAGCAGATAAGTGATGTTCCATTCCATATCTAGTACGTTTGCTTTCAGTGACTGCAACCATTTTTTGACACGGTATTGTCTTATATCATTTGTAGTTTGTACTTGTATTTTGATCTATTATATCATTATAAAGTTGAGTACTTTTCATGTACTAATTTATATTGTACATTTTCATGCACCTGTTTTATTCCATTGAACGACATTAAAATGGAAAAGGGTCGAAGTCTAAAAACGCTAAAGTATGTCGTTATGAATGTCTCAAATCAGGAACCTCGTCGGTGGTTCCTTTTGGTTATATATCTTAATTTTTTGTCATTTGGGGAGTTTAGTTATAATAGAAGATTTTTTGGTAGTCTCTGTTCAAATTTATTCGAAACTAGTTTTTCGATACGGGGCTATAAAGAAGTTGACGACAGACAGATGCCATTTGTTGAAGATCGTATGCGGCCCTCTAGGTGCCTTTTTGGTGCTTACTGTGACGTTTTTTTTTACGTCTCATTGATGTATATTCACATTTTCTTTCATTCATGTCTCAATTTATTCTTTTAATTCAATACTGTTCAGAAATAAAACAACTATCATTTGATGTACTAGAAAAACTGTCAAGAGATTTAAAACAACAATATCTAGTAACTAAATATGTTTTCTGTGTGCTGCAATCTAATTAATCTCTTCATAATTTTCACTTCGTCCTGATCTATGTAAAACACTAAATGACTGTTGTATAACTTGATTTGTAAAATTTAATGAACATTAATGTCTTATGTCTAGTTTAGAGTAACATGTAACAATACTGTGGTTTTAATATAAAGTAACATTTTCCATTTCTTCCAAATCGACATATTCATCTGGAGTATCAGTCTGCATGGAAGGATCACTTTGAAAATTATTCACGAAATTTTTAATTACACTTGGAGTATGAAGATCAAAGCCAACTACATCGAGCGCATTCATATCTATAGGACTGGCTATGGTGTATTCATTGTCGGTCATACCAACAACAATAAGATGGTACTCATCGATAGCCACGAATTGCATGTATCGTTTGAGCATCTCAGCTGGATGCATATGTCCGCAACTGGTTAAAGAGTCAGTGAGAACAATAATAACATCAAATCGTTTTTTTCTGCTAGCAGCCCATTTAAATGGAACAGCCAAGTCTTCGCTGACTCTTGTTGACGGTTGTTGACATCGCCGTTTGACCTGTGCAATCTTAGAAGAAATAGAATCTAAATTATCGCCCCTGGCTATATTACTGATACATGCATCTTCTATAGAATCAGCAAAGATAATGACTTCTACCTCCTCCGTGTTTACGGTTGAAAGAACCATGACAGCAGCTGCTTCGCACGCTTTTATAGACGATCCGCAAATATTTTTCTGCATACTTTCCCCAACGGAAACAGCCATCAAGTATGAATGTCCTGGTGATGGACATATTTTGGTTTGTTTCTCAAATGCCTCTTTCAGTGCATTTACGATCTGTGTGTTTGGTGTCCACACCAACCTCCTCGTTTGTCCATGTCCTTTTTCGTAATGTCGCAAAGCAATAAGAATTGTCAAGGGGTGAATCTTTGGACATTTTAGCTCATCACTGTTCAACTGATCGAGTCTTTGTAGAATAATTTTGATCCACAAGCCTGACGATGTATTTATGTTTGGATCCATCATTCCTAAACTAGTTATTTTACCTAGATTGCGGAGCATAGCGGTAAATGGCATTGTTCGTAGGAGTACCTCCCAAACAAGTATATTATTTAAGAATCGAGTAGGAATATGTTCCCTCGATAAATGGTAATTTGCTATTAGACTGCGGATTTCTTCAACATCGTTACATCGTTTTGCTCTCTTGGCCGCGTCTAGAAATTCACTGATACTAGCTTGATTTGGAGTATTGTTTACAGTTATATTCTCGCCAAATATATATTCTATGATAAGTCTGATATCCGTAGTTTTGGGGTGAACGTGAGCCAGACGAACTGCATCACGGTGCGTCCAACCGTGACGGCGTTTGTACTTCGTAACAAGATAGGCCAATTTCTTTGCGCTTTTATGATTCTGTGGATCTTCAGACTTGAAACTATTGTACCAGTTACTGATGCCCATGCGATGAGCCCTGCCCCATCCACTGGCGATTTCAGACAATTCTTCGCAATATTTAACAAACTGAAAAAGGTGTGTAGGAATACGGCAAACGTCGTTTAATATTTCATAAGCAGATTGTTTAGTCTTTATATCATTACTTCTTGCGCATATGGCTAATGCGTACAGTGTTGTGTCATGCTTATATGCTCTTCCTTGGGTGCTGACATCCCGAATACATTTGATTACCTCTGATCCCCTACCATCCTGTATGAGCCTAAAATAAAGGATCATACATGTATAATTGAATGCAAGTAGTCCATGTTAGATTGGCAAGTTGTCCATTGATAGTAAATATTTGTATTTTCAGTAAATAAATGGAATATTGATATATGTACTGTACACATTATACGGTACAAATCAATGATACATATTGGAAAAATACATTTACGATAATGAAGGAGATATATGGGTTAAAACTAAAACTAAAACAGTATTTGCATTTTAATGCTGATTTACGTACAGTAATCATACGCGTACGGTTTATTTTTCATATTTTTCTCGGATCTCTTTACTAGCCGTATATTTTTTGTTTCCTTTCATATTCAATAAATGTATCAATTATTTTTAGCGCGATCTCTCTGTACTACGGTGTTCTCAGTAAATGTATGTATTTTCATGCCCTATCATTCTGTTAATATAGTGCTAAATTAACACCCCATTATGTCCAATTGTAATTTATTCCACTGGATGGCGAATATTAATCTTCCAAAGTCGATCATTAGAAAGCCTTCATTTGTATCTGGCATTTACAAATCTAAATGAGTAAATTATTTAAATTTTCAGGTCACTCGATAGTAACATTTCTAGCACGTCTGATTACTCCATCCTATGGCACTATTGCGGCTAAGGCTACTGTCAAGTTTGAAAAAACAACAGAGAATATTGGGAATGGATACGATAACAAAACCGGAATTTTTACAGCTCCAGTGATAGGTCTTTATCATTTCACTGCTTCAGCTAGACAAAGTCGGAGTGGATATTTGCACTTGGGATTGTTTAGGAATGACGAAGAAATGGCAGTCTCTGTTGGAGTTAATTACAATTCTCTAACAATTGGTGCAACATTTACACTGCAATCCGGCGATCGTGTTCACGTTGCGAACATATGGACAAAATCGTCTGGTATTGTTGGTGCTGGACAGTCATATTTTTCTGGTCACCTTGTACACATCATGTAAAGAAAAAAATATAAGTACATGATATGACGTTGTTTTTCCATCTTCTTTTATTTCAATTTGATGAAACCACAATAAACAAAAACCTACCTATTCAACAATATAATTAACAAAACGCCGTACAAACCATTTTCAAATAAGAAAATAAAAAGAAGCATTTTAGTCTTGCTTGAACGAATTCATAGAACAGTTTATTTATAACCTTTATCAATAGTTCCCTCCAGAATATCATATGGTCGTCCTCTTACCGGACGTGTTGAGCATGTGCGGCTTTTTTATGAACTATATGTATGCATGTATCCAATTTCTGTTTCAGCTACATGTATTCCGGATGAATACTTACAAAATTTACGTACATTTGATGATATCCATATCATCATCTGTTTTCATGTTTAGTATTTTTAGTTTTTGTAAAAAAAACAGTTACTCTGTTACTTCAGCCCAATGCAACTTTGGCGAGAGAGATCATTGCAGTGACATCAGCTATACCTTCATCGACCACGTCGATCTAAAACTTTACAACTCTATCTAAAATATTCATTGTTATTTTACACTCGTCAAGAATATGAAGGAAATATTTGACCGTTAAACCAAAGAAAAAAATAGATGTTATTTATCAGCAACTGGGCGAGTTTGGAGCAGTTGAATTAACTCAGTTCTTTATTGATGTTTCACTTCATATGATAGACATTAAACTATGACAGTGTCTAGACATTGGTGATATATGTTTACCAATAAAAATATTTAATTATTTTAGTTGTTTCATCTTCACGCAATGATATGTCATATTCTCCAGTGTACAGTTGTATGTTATCTCCATTTTGATGTTAATAAAAGAAGATACGAAATATACATCAATACGACAGCAACCCAGCGACACACATTTTAAAAAATGGTATATTCTAAAATAAGTTTTAATATTCAATTTATGGAAATGAACAAACAAACAACAAATATCTAAGCAGAGGTACGTACAATGTATGATTCGCCAAAAGTTTCTTTAAATATCATTTCATTACCAATTGTAATGATTAATGTACACTTTGATATTTCGTTCCTGCAGCACATTTTTGCTATCGTAAAAAATGATAAAAATATAAATAATCATACAACATGACATCTAAATGTCATATACCATATAACGCAAATCAACTTAAGTATAGTACATTTTTTAAGATCACTTCGACGATAAGAAAGTTCATCCACTTTTTACTTTTCATACATCATATTGTTCTTTGAAATTAAACGATTAAAGTGTTTACAATCTTTAAATATTGAAATACAAAATAAACTATTGTTAGATTAAAGAAAATGTCGACCAGTAGTGCTAAATCATTGCCTAAATATGTCATTTCGAGCTTTAAACATGCGTTTAAAATTAATCGACCCAATTTTTATGATCAGTTGTAAAGTTTAAATGATATTTTAAGTACTTACTTGATATACACAATGTAGGCCTAAATTGCAAAATGTCCCTTTGGCTTATACTTTTTATAAAAGAGATGCAAAAGATACCAAAGGGATATGAAAACTCGTTTGTCGAAAAAAAACTGACAAAGCCATGGCAAAAAAAAAAACAAAACGAAAAACGACCAAAAGACAGACAACGGTACACAAAACACGACATGGAAAACTAAAGACTTAGCAACAAGAACCCCACCAGGTGCTCCGGAAGAGTATGCAGATCTCTGCTCCACATGTGGCACCCGTCGTGTTGCTCAAGTAGGTACAAACCCGGTGATAAAAGTCTAATTCGGTAGGTCATTTTCGAGGAAAAGAGGACGGGATTGTGGATACGACAATTGGAACATATTCGTCTTCATTTGCGAAACAGATAGATATTCCATAACGGTCAACCAAAATTTTCGAAGGGATGATTTCACAACTTTGAAAGTTTGGTTTAATAGCTTCTTTATAAGCAGCAACCGTCTATCAAGGAAATCAATATACGAATTTTTGTTTGTTTAAAGCTGTAAATAGTTCCATCTAATATCGTTAGACATATTATACGTTCACAATTGAATACATCTAGCCTTTGTTAGTCTTGTGTGTGTGTTTTTTTTTTAATTTATTTTGGTTAATTTATATGTTTCGGTGTTGAGTGTGACGTCCATTTTCACTGAACTAGTATACATTATTGTCTAGGGGCCAGCTGAAGCCCGCCTCCGGGTGCGGGAGTTTCTCGCTGCGTTTAAGACCCATTGGTTACCTTAGGCTGTTTTCTACACTTTGATCGGGTTGTTGTCTCTTTGACACATTACCCATTTCCATTCTCAATTCTATCTAATAAGACTACATTACCACTAAGTAAATGTGGGTTGTAATCAGCTAAGTTTCTAAAACTTATTGTGTATTTGTATATATTGCCTTTACCTGAAAAAATAGTATTATTATTATTATCAAATTTATATTGTATAAGATGTATTTAATTTCATATGATAATATTGTTTACACTAGTTTTTTATAGCATGATTTTCTGTTTACCCTAATTTGTTGCCGGCTAAGTGTAAGGGGAAAAACACCAAGTTAAAGTTTAGGTTACAATGAAGTAATTATTTACTTAGGCGACAATGGAAGCCTTTTTTGGGTCCTGCGTTTTCACTATAAAAGATCCGTTGATAAAAATGTCAAATTCTGAATTATCAACACCTTTCGGTGTAAATCAAACTACAAAACACATATGGTGCCGCAGCTTTTTTAATAGAAAAATGGCATTTTTAAGGGTACTCAACAGTTCCAGAATTTTCGAAATAGTATAAATCAAGAACACCCCTTGCATAATTTGGCACAGAAAATGTTGCTCGTCACAAAGAGTTTCCTCTAAATTTCTCGCTATTTCTACACCAATGGCCAACATTCATTTCTCACCATTTCAATTTTTATTTCTGATTACCAGGGCAGCAGAAAATAAATTTACCTCTGCCTATTATCTAAATCTAGGTGGCGCCAGTCATCTTTAATCCTTACTTGACAGTAGGAATGCGCAGTGATTATTTTATTACTAAGAAATGATAACAATTGTTGCTGCAAAATATGTAATGGTGCTTAAATTTCTAGAATTTTTAAAGGGTATTTATCAAAGTTTCAATTTCTTCAAGTTTTAAGTGAATCTGCAATGTAAACTGCAGAAGATTAATTTAGTAGCTGGTCCAAATTTTATATTTGATTATAATGAGGAAGTGAAAAAGTGAATGAAGTGACCATATTCAGACTGAAAACGGTTTTATTACAATCTTAAATGCCGGTCACGGCCTTTCAAATATTCACTAAAAACCATATAGAAGGTCTCAAATATGATATTGGAATAGATATATATTTGGCAGTTAAATTAAGAAATAGAAAATTTTGAACTTTCATGAAGATTATATTGTATGGTCCTAAAAGGGGGAGCAGATAAGTGATGTTCCATTCCATATCTAGTACGTTTGCTTTCAGTGACTGCAACCATTTTTTGACACGGTATTGTCTTATATCATTTGTAGTTTGTACTTGTATTTTGATCTATTATATCATTATAAAGTTGAGTACTTTTCATGTACTAATTTATATTGTACATTTTCATGCACCTGTTTTATTCCATTGAACGACATTAAAATGGAAAAGGGTCGAAGTCTAAAAACGCTAAAGTATGTCGTTATGAATGTCTCAAATCAGGAACCTCGTCGGTGGTTCCTTTTGGTTATATATCTTAATTTTTTGTCATTTGGGGAGTTTAGTTATAATAGAAGATTTTTTGGTAGTCTCTGTTCAAATTTATTCGAAACTAGTTTTTCGATACGGGGCTATAAAGAAGTTGACGACAGACAGATGCCATTTGTTGAAGATCGTATGCGGCCCTCTAGGTGCCTTTTTGGTGCTTACTGTGACGTTTTTTTTTACGTCTCATTGATGTATATTCACATTTTCTTTCATTCATGTCTCAATTTATTCTTTTAATTCAATACTGTTCAGAAATAAAACAACTATCATTTGATGTACTAGAAAAACTGTCAAGAGATTTAAAACAACAATATCTAGTAACTAAATATGTTTTCTGTGT